ATCATGACCCGAGCTGAAGTCGGGCACTTAACCAAGTGAGCCACCCAGGCACCCTGTCAATTTTACTTTTTCAAAAGCAATTTTTAATTTATTCTCTAGCATCATATTTATATTTGTATCATATAAAAACTACAAACCAAACTAACAAATTGTACACTTGCACACCTACCACACAACTCACATACCAGAACTTCGACTTTTACGTTTATCTAAATTCTTCTGCTCGCCTCTTACAGCTCTTTGTACTGTGGCAGCATCTCCACACAACCAATCGAGTGTCCGGCTACTTCTTCTAAATTTTCTGTGCTGGTCAGACATATGCCACAGAGGCGCTCTACAAACTTCAGGGTCCAAGAAAACAACTCCTCTTTCTTGTCTACAAGAAAGAGTTAAGGCAATATTTTGTTTCCTAATAAATACATTTCTTACAAACATTATTCTAGGAACCTAAGTTAGCTTTCCCTTAAAAGATTTTAAATAATTTGCAAAGGTAATAAAAGTTCATACAAATGGATAGTTGTAAATACTAAAAAAGCACTCTCAAATGTTGTCATGGAAACTTAAAACTCTTTGAAAATGATTTGTATTATCTTCCTGTCTGGTAAGAAAAATGTTATTTTACCTTACAGTTTTTTTAAGTTTATTTATTGAGAGAGAGAGTGCACACACACGCAAGTGGAGGAGGGGCAAAGAGAGAGGAAGAGAGAGAATCCCAAGCAGGCTCTGTGCTGTCAGCATGAAGCCTGATGTGGGGCTCAAACCCACAAACATGAGATTGTGACCTGAGCTGAAATCAAGAGTTGGGCGCTTAACCCACTGAGCCACCCAGGTGCCCCTACCTTATGTTTTCAAATAAGGTTTAAAATTATCATTTAAAAAGTTACTACCCCAGGGGCGCCTGGGTGGGTGAAGCACCCAACTTCAGCTCAGGTCATGTTCTCACAATCCATGGGTCCGAGTCCTGCATTGGGCTCTGTGCTGACAGCTCAGAGCCTGAAGCCTGCTTCAGATTCTGTTTCCCCTCTCTCTCTCTGCCCCTTCCCATTCATGCTGTCTGTCCCTCTTTCTCAAAAATAAACATTAAAAAAATTAGAAAAAAAAAAAGTTACTACCCCAAACAGGATTTTGGACAAATACATGGACAAATATATAGGGACATATATCCATTATTATAGTATCATACAAAGTATTTTCACCACCCTAAAAATCCTCTGTGTTAATTCTATTTTTAATTTTTTAAGGAAACTTCAAACTCTTTTCCATTGCAGACATACAATTCTTTATTTCTACCAACAATGCACAAAGATTCCAATTCCTCTGTACTCTCACAAACATCTGTTATTTTCTGTTTTGTGGTGTTTGTGATTTTTTTCTCAATAGAAGCTGTCCTAATGGGTGTAAGGTGGTATCTCACTATGGTTTTCATTTGCATTTCCCATACAATTAGCATGTTGAGCATCTTTTCATGTCCTTATTATTGGCCCATCATATATCTTCTTTGAAGAAATGTCTATTCAAGTCCTTTGGCCATTTTTTAATTGGGTTGTTTATTTGTCTGTTTCTTTCTTTCTTGTTGAGATGTAGGGATTCTTTATATATTTTGAGTATTAACCCTTTATCAAATAAATGAATTACAAATCTTTTCTCCTACTCTATGGATTACCTTTTCACGCTGCTGTGTCCTTGGATGCACAGAAGTTTTATATTTTGATGTAGTCCAGTCTACCTATGCTGTTTCTTTTGTTGACCGAGCTTTCGGTTCATATCCAAGAAATTATTGCCAGTATAGCGTCATGAAGGTTTCCCCTATGTTTTCTTCTAAGAGCTTTGGAGTTTGTTCTTACATGCAGACTCTGTCATGGATTTTGAGCAATTCCCTCTTACAGATTTGGAAATTCCCCACTTAAACCTAAATTAGCTCTTGAAGATATTCCTCTCTGATGTGTATAAGTGAGGTCAAAGGGCCTGTGCATTTTCTAACAGAAATGTAGCTGTTAACAACGTGTGGATACAAATAACTATAAAAACCATCTGCTCCTTCCGAATCAATGTGCACCTCAAATGATGGAAAGACAAAGAAGGGGAAAAAAGATAATGCGAAAAGACAAAGAATTCTCTCAGGTACAGTAACACTGGAATTAAATCTTACCAGGTCCAGTTTTGTTTTTTTGTTTTGTTTTTTTAATGTTTTTTAATGTTTATTTTTGAGAGAGAAACAAAGTGTGAGCAGGAGAGAGGCAGAGGGAGGGAGATAACAGAATTCAAAGCAGGCTCTAGGGTCCAAGCTGTCAGCACAGAGCCTGATGCGCGGCTCGAACTCACGAACTATGAGATCATGACCTGAGCCAAAGTCAGACACTTAACTGACTGAGCCACCCAGGCACCCTTTACCAGGCCCAGTTTTAAGTCACCAATCCAAAGAATAATCCAGAATTTTTTTTAAGAAATTAAAAATTTTCAACCTAGGGTTACTATTAAAATAAAGGTACTTATATCCCTCCACCAAAGGCTCTCTTCTCTATTATAATTTCATAGTTTTCTATTCCCTTTTAAATATTTATCTTCTCTATCCTCCACTGCTGTGTTTCTTGATGCTGCCATTATTAATACTTTTTTTTATGCCTAACACATTGACTTATTTTGCAAACAGCTGCCTGAAAAGCCTAAGGGTGCCTGTGTAGTTAGGCACCAATTTAAGAAGTCTGTTTTCTGGAATAATATTTATTCATTAATATTCTTGAACACCTGCTTTGTGTAAGACTGTGAAAAAAACAAAGCTGCAAAACTCACCAGAAAGGTCTTATAAACTGGCCTTAATAGGCCATATTCAGTATCATAATCACTTAGAAGGATAATGACCTGGAAATAAACATACCAGCAAGGCTGCATGGGGCATTTCTCCCCAGTGGATCATCACAGCAGGCAATACGGTCGACAAGAAACTAACTCTCTTCTGGCCCTCCAGCTGACATGTCAGGTTCAAGGGACCAAGACTCACACCCAGTGGGTTCAAGAAAACGTGTTAGAAGATAGTTTGACACTAGATTATAGCTTTGAATGCCAAGGTAAGATATATAACGTTTTATTTTATTTTGTGACCTCTGATGGCTTCTGAGTAAGGGATTAACATGACTAAAGCTCTATCAATGTTAATATGGCAGCAGTATGTCAGGGGCTAGAAGCAGAGAGAGACTAGAGGCAGAAAGATTATTACCTTCCATTGGGGGAATAATAACATTAATAGTAATAATATAACAGCAGTAACCAATACTTATTATTTTTTTTTTTTGGCAATTTACCATTTGCCACACACTCTTCTAAGCATTTTTCATGTCTGAGGTCCTTATAACAACCCTGTGAGGCAGCTTTAGTACAAATATTATCTCCTTCACAAATGGGGAAACTGAGGCAACCAGAGGTCACGTAACTTGCCTAAGGTCTCATGGCTCGTAAGTGGTAGGACCAACATTTGAACCCAGATAATCTGGTTCCAGAGCCTATACTCCAAAGCCAACTCAACACCACCACCTCCCAAAGTGCACCATGTATGCTCACCTTGCCTAAGATTTCAGAAAAACCCGTAAGGGATAACTCATTTCTCCCTAAGAAACTTGATAATGATAGGGCCGACAGTTCTAGTATTAGACTCAGCCAATCAGTCTGTGTGAGGATATCATGTGGGAATAAATGAGATCTTGAAGAGTCGCTGGTACCTCTTTATTTAGTGCCCACCAAGTGCCAATCATTTGTGCATCGTCTCATCAAATCCTCACAACAATCCTATGATGGGGGCGTTGTTTTTAATCCACTTTTTTCAGATGAGGAAATACGGGTTCAGAGAGGCTACGCTCTCTGTCCCTCATTACAGAACCAGTTAACGACAGCAGCAGAAGTAGAATCCAGAGTCATATTAATCTCATGTGCTTCCTACTACCTCACACTGAGGCCTGGAGCAGTAGTGACAGGAACAGTGCCAGTCTAGAAGGCGGCAGTCCTTCTGCTCTCAAAAGGCCAGCAACCCCCTCAGGAAGACTCTGAAGCTGCTTAGGGGTGCATGTGTAGCTGCGTTCCCAGGCTATCTCTCTGCCCAGCTAGAAGTGACACGAGGCAGATGCTGAGTCAGCCGTTGTTCCAAGGAACCAGAACCAGCCTGTAAACCAGGCGAGGCCAAGGCAGCTCTGAGGACTCCAACACACAGAGCGCAAACATCAAACCCCATGGAAGTTCACAAACACAGGCTATCAGTTTGTGGCCCTCCAGGAAGAGAGGTTATAAATAACATTCTCTGAAGAGAACTGAGGCGAGTCAGAGGGAACTGAGGATAGTACCTGGAAATCAGAAACCCAAGGGAGCGGAGTTAGGTTAGAAAATTGACTATGCTTGTTTTCTCAGCTAATTCCCATATGTTTAACCTCAAAGTTTCTCAAAACTTTACTCTTAGAAAAATGGTTATGAGATAATATTAAATTAAAAAAAGCAAAACACACCAACACAATTGAAAGATGGTGGACTTTTGGTATTCATTTTCTTTTCCCTGAATTTTCCAAATTTCCTGTAACAGACATATATTACATTGTTATCCAGGGACAAAAATAAAATACACTAATCAAAAAATTTTTAATTCGTATTTAGGAAGAGAAAAAGAAAAAAAGACCAATTTCACAAAAAGTAGTCTAGTCATTCCCAAATGTTCAAACAGGCGACATCAAAATCACATGAGACATCTGTAAAAAAATACAAGTTTCCAGAACCCAAAGACCTACTCAGTCAGAATTTCCCTGGGGGGAGCCTAGGAATCTGGAGTTTTAACAAGCTCCCCAGGTGACTATAATCTTTTTTATCAAGGAAGTCCAGGAGGACTTTCAATTCCCTTTTTCGTTTTGAGGTTCCTTGGTGATTTATTTAACACCGGCACAAATTTATACTGGAATGCAAACATACAGTATGTCATGGTGGGAGTAAGTGACCGGGGTGAGGACTTGGACGGCCTCATGCCTCACCATTTATCTCTGCAAACTTCTGAACATCACTCAGGGTTTTCAGTTCTTGTCGTGGACATGCTGTTACACACAGCGCTACGGACTTGATCTTCCGGTTTATCAAGTCCAGATTGCATGGATCCAAAAAGAACACATACCTAAAGCATGGAGAGAAATATTGAGATGTTATTTTGCAAAAAACACATTCTGGTTCACTGCCTAATTTGACCAAGCCTGTAAGCAAAGAACATCCATACCCTTCCCAAATTTTGTCAAAGATGAACAAACAATTCAGAAATCTAATCACAGGTTGTTTGAAAACATACTGTTAACAGTGGGGACTGGAGGAATTGCAGGACTCCTATTTGTCATGATGTATTTTTCTAATATTTACATTTTTGTAATGTAGTTCATAATTAGAAATTATCTATTTTAGTTTTTTAGATAATTAACTTGTTTTCTTTTTTTTTTTTTTTTTTGGTCAAGGTTGTGCCCTAAAAGTTACTAGAATATTCCAATAGTGCTATATAATGTGAATTATAGTTTATGTATAAGCTTTAGCTAATATATAATTACATATAAAATTTAAAATTATAAAAATGAAATATAAACTTTTGCTAATTAATATGTAATTATAAAAATGAATTGTAAAATTACATACAATTGAATACGTAATGTTGAATGGAGACTAGAGGGAATTATGCCAACATGTTATCTGCAGTCATCTCTGGATGTTAGAATAAAGTAATTTTAATTTTCTTTCTTTCATTTTTCAGAATTCTCATTTTCTAGTAAATGAAATGACTTTTGAGGTGAGATAACTACAGTAAATATCATTTATTAAAAAGGTCGATTACATATCAACAAAGTAATCTTCAAATCTTAAATTATCCCTTTTGTGTTCTGTACATGCATGTTTTAGGAAAAGGAAGATTAACCAGAAATTACACTGAAACAGATTGGTTTTTTTTTTTTAATGTTTTATTTATTTTTGAGACAGAGAGAGACAGAGCATGAGCAGGGGAGGGGCAGAGAGAGAGCGAGACACAGAATCTGAAGCAGGCTCCAGGATCCCAGCTGTCATCACAGAGCCCGACGCGGGGCTCGAACTCACGAACCGCGAGATCATGACCTGAGCTGAAGTCGGACGCTCAATGAACTGAGCCACGCAGGCATCCCTGAAACAGATTGTTTTTAAATGTTAAACCGTAGGGACCCTGGGTGGCTCAGTGGATTAAGCGTCCAACTTCAGCTGAGGTCATGATCTCTCGGTGTGGGATTCTCAGGAACCCTGCTTTGGTTGGGCTCCCTGCTGTCTGCTTCAGATCCTCTGCCCACCCCACTCTGCCCTTCCCCTGCTCATTCTCTCTCACTTTTTCTCTCAAAAATAAACATTTTTTAAAAAATGTTAAAAAGTAGAAAAGATGATAAAGATTGCAGATGTTATCATTTGCCCCAAAAGAAATACTCTTAACTAAGAATACTCTTAACTAAGAAAAGCAAAGTCTAACGTTATGGATCAACAGAGGGGAAACAAGCAGGAATGTTTTCATGCAAGACAGGAGGTAAAGAACCTCCAGCGCTGGTTTCCATTCGCCTGGGTCCGTGGAAGGTTTTATGAAATTGTCTCTCTGCCAACAGCCTTTCCCACATTGTTAAGTTCTATTGCTATATAAAATAGGATTCAAATCAGGAAATATAACCAAATATAAGAACTAGGTGAGAAAAAGGAAAAGCAAAAAGATCAAGTCAATACATATGCTGGAATGGACAATATATAAAAGGATACCAGAAAAAAAATTAAATAAAAAAAGAAGTGTGTACATCAGGGGGATGGGGGCCTGAGAGGTATTTGCAGGTAGAGTAACACTGCACACAGGAGAAGCACCAGGGACGAAGAACCCAGCATGAAGGTCAGGGATAAACTACAAACCACCAAACTTAAAAAAAAAAAAAAAAAAAAAAAAGGTATTTTGTAACCATTACCATTCCACAGAGAATGACTATGTAGCCCAAGAGAGCTAGAAGGTGCATGAATTCAAACCTAGACCTTCTGAGTTTCATCCCATGTACAACCTGCTCTATCCCCAAAATATTTCCTACAAAATAATAAATCATTGTAACCTTTCTATATTAACTTACAATATTGTTTCCAGCATTCTGAAGTTCAATTCAATCCATGGCAACAAGTTCCTACGTAATTAAATTTTAACTAAATGGCATTTAACTGAATATTTACAGAGTAGGAAAAATGCATGTCTCGAACAGACAAATTTTATGATTCATTAAAACTGTACCCTTCTTGCCTTTTGATTGAAAAATGCCCTTTAGCCAGGTAAATAAATCCTTACATTAGTTTCAGTTTTCACATCAAACAAAAATGAACTGTATGCGGCAATTCCATTTTTTGGAAAGGAGACAAATAGCCAACTTTCAAGTAAGCATGGCACTGGCAGACCAGATTAACTAACAAATCTACTGATAAGTAGGTTTTTTTACTTTTTTTTTTTTTTAATAATTTTTTTTTTTTTCCCAACGTTTATTTATTTTTTTGGGACAGAGAGAGACAGAGCACGAACGGGGGAGGGGCAGAGAGAGAGGGAGACACAGAATCGGAAACAGGCTCCAGGCTCTGAGCCATCAGCCCAGAGCCCGACGCGGGGCTCGAACTCACGGACCGCGAGATCGTGACCGGGCTGAAGTCGGACGCTTAACCGACTGCGCCACCCAGGCGCCCCAAGTAGGTTTTTTTAAACTGACAGCACAAGATGCGAGGTAGGAGGCCATAAAACATTCCCAAAAGGCTTCTCACAAACAGCCAACCACTGTCACGGGTAACCGAGAAACCAAAGCAAATTTTCATTGCCATTCTCAGGGAGTCTTCTACTGGACCTACTAATAACTTACAAACAGCTTCCAGTTCCACATCCTGTAGAGGAGCAGGAATGAATCAACTACCAAAAGTGGGATTAAAAGAGAAGGAAGAGAAAAACACTTCACAAGCTGAACAGCCCAGATACCTGCAGGCATTGGCACACAGGACAGGGGCCTGCAGCATCACCACGTGGTACTGAGAAGAACACATTTGCAAAGAGATCTGCAAAACAGCCTAAGCGAGCTTGGAACTTCAACGTTAAGAGGAACAGCGAAAAATGCTTAAGACTAAACCGTAAAGCGAACATTATAGAGGCTAGCAGGTAAGGCACGTAACTATGTATCACAGTCAAGACAGCTCCTGGGAACTACTGAAGGAGAGAAACAGATAAATTCATTTCAAATCGAAATTCTTGAAATACAGGTTATCCCCAAAAAGACAGGACAGGAGAGAGTTCTAAATAAAATGTCTACATACACAGTAAACTCACGGGGACAGATGCACCAAAGATGAAAACAGGGCAGTAAAGCAAAGGAAGGGCACTAAAGCATGGAAGGTCGGGAAAAGGGACAAGAGGCACAGAAAGAGGTGACGTTTAAAGCTGTGCTCAGAGCAAGGCAGTGAACACAGAATGAGCTGATGTAGATAAGGATGCCAGAGATGGTTCAAAACTGCTTTACACTTCTATTTTGCTTTCATTTTCTTCAAGGAAGACAGGGCACGGTAGAGAAAGTAAGATTTACTGGGAATTTACTTTGGGCCACAAAGTATCTTAGGCACTGTCCTCACACATCCTAATTCAACAAAAGGGAACTGAGACTGACAAGCTGGACAAATAACCAAAAGCCATACTGACTTGATGACTTGAACCCTGGGGTGCCCGACTCCCAAGTGTTGCTCTTTCTGCCACTGCTCTTCCAACTTAAAATGGAAAGTGAAGGGCACTTGGGTGGCTCAGTCGGTTGAGCATCCAACTATTTTTTTAATGTTTATTAATTTTTGAGAGAGAGAGAGACAGAGCACCAGGGGGAGAAGGACAGAGAGAGGGGGAGACACAGACTCCGAAGCAGGCTCCAGGCTGTCAGGAGAGAGCCTGACGCAGGGCTCGAACTCATGAACCATGAGATCATGACCTGAGCTGAAATCGGACGCTTAACCAACTGAGCCACCCAGGCACCGATTAAACCCTCTGGAACCCCAGAGCAAGGATTCTGAAGCCCTACGTGGACACAACACGGTACTGTCCTCCACATGGTATGCAACCCTCCCATGATAAGGATTAAAAAGGATGACACAAAGACACTTCATTCATTCAACAAACACTACTAAGTGTTATTATGAGTCTACTCCTGGAGATACAAAATTCATTAAAAAAAAAAAACAGTTCTTAAATACAAATAATTTACAGTCTAGAGAAGAAGAAACAAAAACAGTCATTTCTGCTATGAGGCAAGGTTGAGATGGTGGAGGAAACAGTGTAATTCTGCACACAGCATAAGGGGTTAGAGGAAGCACTACGGAGCAGGAGGCAGTATTGAAGCCACACTTTGGCAATGAGTAGGAATTTTCCACACAGATGGGGAAGGGAGCGTTCTAGGCAGAGAAAACTGCATGTATAAAAGTATAGAAGCATGAAAGAGCATATTTAAGGAACAGCAAATAATTTGATAAGGTGGACTACAGGATCGGACATCAAAGGGCTATGCCCAAGGAGAAACAGGGGACAGAAGAGGCAGCCATCCTTACAGCTGAAGGACCTTACAGCTCCACTACATTAGGGAATGCGCTTTCAACAGCCACAGCACCCGGAGCCCCCCGCCTTGGGTTCAAGGCCAGGGAGCGGAAGGCTGGGCCACCAGGGGGCGCTGCTTCAGAGCTGAGCCTTTGCCTTCAGTTGCCTCCTGCTGCCATGGCAACTCTGCGGCAAGGCTTTTTGGAGTAAAGAGTGGCAAACAGATACCAGTCTGCTGGCCACCTCCTGCCAAATTTGGCTCCTGTCCTCTCTAATCAGGACGGAAGCACTGCAGCACTAAAGCTGGAAAGCTGGCTGAAAAACCCCTCTGTCCGTCGCCTCTGCGTTAGTGATTCCTAACACGTGTTTTCCCCAGAGGAGAATAAAAATGGAGTCTGATCATTTTGCCAATTATTACCTCATATCAATTTACAATTTACAGCCCCTCTCCACAGAGTATGCTGCCATTAGTGAATCACACCAAAAGGAACAACACAACAGCCTGGCAGAGGCTTCTCCTATTGCTAAATATAGGCTTCAGAGAGCCCTAG